AAAGCATTGCGGTGGATGTTATGCCCACGATTCTTGAATTTAAGGGTTAGCAGAGCAGTAGACAAATTGGACCAATTTTCATAAACTTATGAATATTCGACAAGTGAAAACGCTGAAATTTTGTGCATTGAATGCCGTAAGGTATGCGCCATGCACTCGACATCCGGACATGAAGCCATTGGAGCTCATTCTCCTTTCACATATTCACCTGACTTCTCATCTCTATGTGAAATTTTCCCTTCGTATGTCCAGTTTCAGATGTGTCTCGATGGCTTCTGGGTGACACCAAGTCGACGGCTTCTCACACTATTCTCCGCACCTATGTATTGCAATTTATACAGGTAATCTCGGTGCTTTTGATTGAAAAAAACATCGAAGTGGTGTAGCAACAAGTGGTTTCATTCAGCACGTGTTCTGGGGACATCACTCCTCAGATGTGGGATGTTTGGTGGTTCATCTTTGAGTCAATTTACACTCTACAACAATTATATTTATTATCTCTACACTTTCATAAACGATCGACCTAAATCCCTACGCAAAATAATTGAATATCTTGAGCTTTTGACTTGACTGTTTGACCTACACTCAACCTCATCGTGTTTTTGGGGACAACCTGCGTTGCGGGTCCGCCTCCTAGTTGGCCGGTTACATACCCTGTGCGGATAGACCGGGTCCTCGATCTCGATTGAGGAGATCAGCGATAGGGGTCGTCAAGACGACCGGGCGTCGCCCGTCGGCCATGATTCAGTCTGCTGGTGGGGAGAGCATCAGCTGACCGTTAAACACCCTGGGCTGCTTAAATGCCCGAGTGACGGTAAGCGGTGACGAGAGGGATGACATCATGAAGACGAGGTTCATGACAGCACGAGCACGATCAGGCGATTAAGTTCTTGACCGTATGCGGTCCCGCCCTTGCAAGCCTTCCGTTCCTACGGATTTGAAAAACCGATGACAGGCCAGAACGGTTCACTTCGGTCTGTTGGATAGACCGAAGTAGGACAATCACAGATGTGGCATTCCGTGCACGGAAATCACCGACAAGAGCGCTAGGCCTTGCAAAGTAAGCTGCTGCAGCTGCAATTTTTCTTATCAGGCTGTTGTCTGGCGCCCTCTCATCTGCTCTCTCGCCTCATACTCTCCTCTCCGCGCTTAGTCTCTCATTCCCTTAGCACAGCCGATTAGGAAGGTGAGTGAGCCCTTAACCTAAGCGTTTTCGACGGATTCTTTTCCTTTTTTCTTTACTGCCGGCCCATTTCGCACCAATACATTCGCATTCGTGTGCAAGAGCCACACCAATTTGATCCTGGGGCATGCCTTTAATCATGATTACAAATGTTTCCACCCACAAATAAGGTATTCTTATTCAGGAATGCAGGAACCGTTCTTGAAGTTGATGACCAACTACACTGCAAGCTTATCGCTATGATGCCAGAATCGGTACGGTCATTTCCCAATTTGGCTGTAGAAAAAGCTCGCATTGAAATCGGTTGGAAAATGTTTGAGTCTTGCTACTAGTGATCGAAACAAGAGGTTCATTCCCTAGGGCTTAGAGCGAAGGAAAGAAAATTAAGAGCTGTGCATGCATATTTACTGTGTATGTCACGGCGATGTATTTGGCAAACCTACAGAGATCTACTTCACGGCTTTTTGATTGCCGCTCGCATGGCGCAGTGTATGCTTTCGCTCCTGGCGTAACACAAAACGCCCTTGCCGTTTCCGTTCGCCAAGTATGTACGCCTTCTTATGCATTTTAAATCAGCCAGTTATTTTCAGCGTGGATGTCGCGAACGGGTCACGAAGCAAAATCGGCTTTGGGACGAAACCGTGGACTACATCTTCGAAAGAATGGCCTAATCGTTCAAAATCCTGTTAGCTTTTGCAAATTAAAAAGAAAAAAGCCTTTCCGTATCTCTTTCCTGTGTAACTAGTCTATTCTAGCTACATAGTTAGTGGTGTACGCAATAAATTTTTGTGTTGCCTCACCTTTTCCCGGTTTTATTTTATTAATAAAGTGTTTTAGAATGTTTGACTACAAGTTTTTGATGAAGCAGCAATTACACGCACTGCTTTCGCTCTCTACGAAATGGTTATAGATCCACCGATGTTTACCATCAATGATCCCACATTGGAGATCGTGATACCATATGGGTAGTCACCGCGTCAGCAATCGCCTACGAATTAGACGGGATATTCCGCAGCTGCGTGGGTAGATAACAAGCTACACGATCCTTATGGAGATCTCAGCAATTCGTCAGTAAACACACTGGGTCTTTCCTAGCTCACACCTCCTTCAAAAGGCACAATGAAGGATGCGTTAAGGTTGTAGAACTCCCGCTCTTCCGGATCTCAAAAGCAAAAGGCGGGGTTGGCCCCGCTGAAGAAGTCCTTCACGGGGGTTAGTGCTAGGTCCGGAACTGTAAAGGTCGCGAAAGCTTATTCCCTTGAACGCCTCGTTAAGGAGCCTAGCGTTTTGGATTTCAATTACGAAGCCTGGTCGAACGGTACCCGCCCACCATTCGATATCTTCCCTGTGTCATATCGGTTATTCAGCTGTGATCTCTCGACCCGAAGTTCTCCCACCCTCTCCGCGACTAGCAACCTAAAATATCTTTTATTTCGCCGTCTTCCTCTCAACGTTTTCCGCAGCTTACTGCGAGAAGGTCCGTCTCTTCTGGGTTTTTTGACGACATCTCTTCCTTTTTCTCCGCTTATGATCCATTTCGGATCTATACTTTCGTATTCGAATGCGATTGTAACACCAAAACGTTACTGTCCATTGCCTTCAGTTGCGCAGCAAAGGCATTCAAGTCAAACACCGCTGTGACCGCTGCTATTTTTCACGTCCGCTGCATGCTGGTGTTTGCGCTGTCTCATTGCTGTGCTCGCCTGTACCCTCTCCTGCATGCGCATTTTCTCATTCCTTACCACGAAAGAGGGCACACCTTTACATTTTTTAGCGTTTTCGACACATTTCTTTCTTTTGTCTCCACTGCCGCCCCACTTCCCATTTATTTTCGTGTGCTGTCACTGAATAGCTTATTGCACCGACGGTACCTAGAGTAAAATAAGGCATTTTCATTGACATTTATTGGTTCCACACAAACTAGATACTTTCGTCTGCATAAGCCGATAATCGCGGTGATACGGAAAGGTTACCATTCCCGCACAGTTCAGCTGACAACTGCTCCATGTACATAGCAGTGAGCTCGAAACGAGGCCATGTGAAATGCAACCTGTATGCTACTCTATTATACTAAATACACCTGGAAATAGTTTTGAATACAATCCAATCTGTTCCTAATATCGCATGCTAGCTGTGAATTACATAGCCAGCCAGATTACCTTTTAGTACCTTTTGAAGAAGTCCTCTATCGCAACATACGGGGGCATAGTCGCGGCAATGTACTTGCAGCCGCTTGAAACATAACCTCTCTGCTTAAAACGGGACTAATCCTCAATCGGAGAGGAGAAACTCCAGGAAGCGTGAGCAATTTCCATTTTTATCCTAATTTCCTGCTCCTTCCTAAGCTC